AGATATCCCGAAGGACCCGCTGTTTTTTTTTTTTTTTTTTTAATACTTCAGTTTTTTTTTTTTTTTTTTTTTTTTTTCTTCGCTGATACAGAGTCTATCTTCCTTTTGTTTTTGTTTTTGTTTTTGTTGTTGTTTTTCTTTTTCTTCTTCTTCTTTGCTGATATGGAACGTATTTTCGGTCGATTCGGAACCTACCTTCTGTCGATCCGGAACCTACCCTCCGTCGTTCCGAAAACTACCCTCCATCATTCGAAAACTACCGTCCGCCGATCTGGAGGTTACCCTCATGGCGAACGCTGATTCCGATCTTGATCCCAGTTCTGATCCTGACCCTGACCCTGACCCCGACCTTGATCCGCCCCCCATCCGCACCATGACCCGACCCGAGTATTCCTTGGGCGTGTTTTTTTATTTTTTGTTTTTTTAGTTTTCGACAGATTATGTCAATCAATCGATCAATCAATCGATCAATCAATCGATCAATCAATCGATTAATCAATCGATCAATCAAACGATCAATCAATCGACCAATCAATCGACCAATCAATCGATCAATCAATCGATCAATCATCAATCAATCGATCAATCATCAATCAATCAAGCAATCACAACAGAAAAATTCTTACGAGAAATGAAAGTTGAAAAAACATTCCATAAAAAAAAAATCCTTCATACTTATAAATTATCATTTCAATGTGTGTCCAATTCTAAAATTTTCAGTTTTATTTGATAAGTTTTTGTCTCAATATAAGTTTTCCCTTCCAACTACATCTATTTGTTCAAGATGGAATGAAAGTCTGAAAAAGTTTATGAAATATTTTAATTAAACTTTCACTCTGCTGCAAAAAACATCTTATAATTTATATTGAATTAACCTATTTATGACTGAAAATCCTTACTTAGAATGACAGTCCAATTAAAATATTTCATGAACTCATCCAGACGTTCATTCCATCTCTAGCATGCAGTTCAAATAAGAAGGAATACCCCATTCTTGGAATGAAAGTTTTCAAGTAAGACGATAAATTTTAAAATTGGAATGACATTTTTTATGATGGAATGAAAATTTAAAATTTAAAATGTAATTTGACTATAAAATGATTATTTAATTTGATAATTTTTTTCTGTTGCGATCAATTGATAAATCAATCAATCAATTAATCAACCAATCGATGAACCAATGAATTCAATTGGCTTATTGATTGATTGATTG